TTGCCAGGAAACAGCAAAATTTACTTTAACACGAGAATTCTCTTTATCAGTGTTTGTTTTAAGGTGAGTCAACTGTACTTTAAATGAATTAATTTAAACAATTTTTGATAATACAGTCAAATTAAATTAATAAAATATTGTTAATAATAAAAATTATTATTTATCATATATTTTTTTTACTAAAACGTTCAATTACATTGACAAATTTATAACAATTATGTATATACAAGTCTTCAGAGATTATCTTATTCTGTAACTTTCAAAAAAATAACTGATTTGTATTTTATATGACAATGTTGCATGTCCATATAGTATGCTAGTTATATGTCTGTACACAACATGCAATGATAGTTGTACTGTTTTCTAAAAACTAATACTGTAATATTATCTATATTTACTTGCAGATGTTAATGGTTATGTATATACTTTTTCTAGGTTTATTTTCACCAACAAACATTAATATGCTATTAAATTAAAACAATCTCCATTTTAAACACAATATCAATGAGATGATAGAAACATCTCAACCAGAGTTGCCACCTGTCAGTATTTAACACAGTGCCAGCAATAGTTTTCATACTTTGCCAGCATTATCATATTATTTCCACATTACCAGCATTTTTAAAACCTTCAAAGGGTCAAAATTTACAAAGGACTAAATTTGCTTTAAATTAGTTTAAAGGCACTGATTTAACACACACAAACATTATATCAATATTTTTTTGCACCAGTATCATAAAATAGCACTAAATCTACTGTAAAAAACATTAAGCTGGCAATGTTGACTGCATTGTGTACCATCACACAGTGATTTTGTCAACACAATTTCTGGTAAGTTTGAACACAGGTAACTGAGAGAGTAGGTAAATAAGTCATATTAAGAGAGCCTAACAGAATAAATAAGTCATATTAAGAGAGCCTAACAGAATTACATGAAATACTTCATTCAAAAATGTGTTGCTTTTTACTATGTTTAGGATATCTGTATCTAGATTTTTTTGCTCCAGCACTATTTTAATTATTGTGAATTTAGAAGATTTTTTATTTGCTGATTTTAAACTCTAAATATTTATGTAAAAATATGTTGTACTGTAAATGTTAATTAGTACTGTCATATTTTAAATATTAGGTAACCAAAAAAGTTCTGTCGTTTTTTGTGAAACTACAAAGTTTAAAGAATGTTACATGCAATACACAATAGATGGCACTAAAATTCCAGCAATATGTTAATCAAGATTTAATGCTGACTTACCTTATATAAAGAGAAGTGGAAAGGTTATATCTTAATATTATAAAAATTGACCTGAAGATGAGTACTCCAAACTCTATAATTCGTGCTTGTATGTTGTATGAGTTTAAACTTGGAACAAATGCTGTGCAAATGGCTCAAAAAATATGCCAGACTTTTAAACAAGTTCTGTTAGCACTCACACCATCCAAATTTACAAAATTTTTTTCCAGCAATGAGTCGCTTAAAGATGCGCCATGACAATGCCGATGAATTACAGGCTACAGTCGAAGAAGATCCTGCTCAAACTTGTCAGATGTTAGCACAAAGGTTCTTCGTAAGTGATCAAACTGTCCGTTTACATTTGCATTGTCTTGGGAAAGTTTACAAGCTCAGCAAATGGATACTTCATCAATTGGTACCTGCCAATATTGTGCATATGGTGGACTGCAAATGGAATTGTTCACTATGAACTTATACCATCTGGCCAGACTATTACTGCTAATGTCTACAGTGACCAATTGCATTGAGTTCACCAATCACTTTTGAAAAAACAGCCAGCTTTAGTGAATCGTAAAGGTGTTCTTTTCCTACACAATAATGCTATAGGCCTCATGTCGCACGTGTGACCTCTGACACAATTCAGACCCTTGGATGGGAACCTCTTTTGAACCTCCTTATTCCCCTGACATTAGCCCTGACTATCACCTATTTTTAAGCCTAGATAATCATTTGCGAAATCGACAGTTCAGAAATAGAGAGGCTATGGAAACGGAGTTAGACAAGCTTTTCAACTCTAAAGATTGTGACTTTTATAAAAATGGAATTTATATGCTTGTTTCCTTTTGGGAAAAGGTTATTGAATGTGAGGGTGATTATTTTGATGAATAAATTGTGTTATTTAATATACATTTTAATGTTTGTTTTCTTTCAACAAAAAACGACAGAACTTTTTTGGTTACCTGATAATATGTTGTATTTTAAGTCTATATTTTTTAAGTTTACGTGTTATATTACCATTTATAGTTTCTTTGTACATTTACCAGATTCTTTTCCTTTTGTGTTTTATTGGGAGTAGTTGTCTTTTGTATTACTAAATGTGTATGTATATATATATATATATACACAAATGTGTATGTATGTATATATANCAATAAAAAATTATACTTCAGAAGTTAATTTAGTATCAAAAACATAAAATATTTGAGTAGCCCAAGACATAGCCAAAGATTGCAGCGCCACAGCACTGGCGAAAATTTAAATTTGCCGACTGGAATTGTTTTGGATAATCGACGCTCTACTGCATATAAAAAATGTTTACATATTGTATTGCAGGAAATTACCGTATTTTGTATTCCTTTTTATATTATTTTGTTTTTCATATTTATTGTATTAATTTCATTATGCTTGTTTACGTAATTTAATTTCAACATATGTTCTAATATAATTTAAATTTGAACATGTTCAATAATGGCATGGATTCGAACGTCTTTAACCTGATGATGGCCCATGAAATGGGTTGAAAACATTTGTTTAGCTGAATAAATGTGCATTCTCAGTATTAAGGTGTGTTGACTGTATATTGTTAAAGAATCTGAGTGAGAATAAAAGATTAAAATATAAACATCAACAACAATAGCCTGTTATATAATAAACACGCCAAACAATATGCCAAATTCTACGGCTATGTAAAAGTTACAATTAAATACAGTATAATTTTCTTTGAATACACGTTATACATAAAATATTTTTTCAGCATTAAACGCATTATTGTATTTTATATTCATTTATATGGGAAAAATTGTTTTGCTTAATGAGTGTTTTGCATTACGAGTAAGATTCTGGAACAAATTGTGCTCATTAAGACCCTGTACACACTAGGCATTTTTCAACGCGCGTTAAACGCGCGTTTTAAAGAACCAAGAGTTCTATGTAGCCGTACACACTCAAATGCCAAGCGCGCGTTAAACGCGCGTTTATAGATTTTTGTTAAAACGCGCGTTTTGCGAGCGCTTTACAGGCGCTTTGAGATATATGTGCTGCCTTATAGCGACGATGGAGGAGCACACACAATCAATTACTTTCTCGTCCATTTCCAAACTGAGCCAGTGCTAAACGCCGAGCTAACGCTCGTTAGCTCAGCGTTAAACGCGCATTGAAAAACGCCTAGTGTGTACAGGGCCTAA